CTCAAAAAAGTTAAAGGTTCACCCTAAAAATGGAGGGAAAAAACCCTGAAAAAAGGAGGAAAAAAACTCGAAAAAGTCAAAGGTTCACCCTGAAAATGGAGGGAAAAAACCCTCAGAAAAGGAGAAAAAAAACTCAAAAAAGTTAAAGGGTCACCCTAAAAATGGAGGAAGAAAACCCTGAAAAAAGGAGAAAAAAAACCTCAAAAAACTCAAAGGTTCAACCTAAAAATGGAGGGAAAAACCCTGAAAAAAGGAGAAAAAAAAACTCAAAAAAGTCAAAGGTTCACCCTGAAAATGGAGGGAAAAAACCCTCAGAAAAGGAGAAAAAAAACTCAAAAAAGTTAAAGGGTCACCCTGAAAATGGAGGAAAAAACCTGAAAAAAGGAGAAAAAAAACTCGAAAAAGTCAAAGGTTCACCCTAAAAATGGAGGGAAAAACCCTGAAAAAAGGAGAAAAAAAACTCAAAAAACTCAAAGGTTCACCCTAAAAATGGAGGAAAAAAACTTAAAAAGGGGAAAAAAAAACTTAAGAAAGGAAAAAAAAAACTTAAAAAAGGAGGAAAAACGCTCAAAAAAGGAGAAAAAAAATCCTTAAAAAAGGAGGAAAAACGCTCAAAAAAGGAGAAAAAAAGCTTAAAAAAAAGGAGAAAGAAACCCTGAAAGAGGAGGAAAAAAGCCTTAAAAAAAGGAGAAAAAAAACCTTAAAAAATGGAGAAAGAAACCCTAAAAGAGGAAAAAAAACCTAAAAAAGGAGGAAAAACCCTCAGAAAAGGAGGAAAAAACCCTTAAAAAAGGAGAAAAAAAACCCTAAAAAGGAGGAAAAAAACCTTTAAAAAAGGAGGAAAAACGCTCAAAAAAGGAGAAAAAAAACCTTAAAAAAAAGGAGAAAAAAACCCTAAAAAAGGAGAAAAAAAACCTTAAAAAAGAAGGAAAAAACCCTTAAAAAATTCAAAGGATCTCCCCAAAAATGGAGAAAACCCCCGAAAAAATGGAGAAAATCCCCCTAAAAAAATGGAGAAACCCCAAAAACTCAAAGGACCCCCCAAAAAAGGAGAAAATCCCCAAAAAAATGGAACAAAAAATCCTCAAAAATGGAAAAAATCCCCCCAAAAATGGAGAAAATCCTCCTAAAAAATAGGAGAAAACCCAAAAACTCAAAGGACCCCCCAAAAAAAGGAGAAAAGCCCCCAAAAAATAAAAAAAATCCCCCAAAAAATGGAGAAAATCCCCCAAAAAATAAAGAAAATCCCCAAAAAAATGAACAAAATCCCCCCAAAAAAGGCGAAAATCCCCCCAAAAAAAGGAGGAATCCCCCCCAAAACCTCAAGGGACCCCCCCCAAACCCTCCAAGCCCCCTCCCCAAAATCCCAACCCAGCACTCACTGATGGTGGGGGCGGGGGACAGCT